ACCGCCCAATTCTTTAAGAATTATGACAAATTATCTAATCTGTAATGATCCAGGTGCCATTTACTGACAGGGACACCGGAGAGGGTTATCTGAGGGCGAGATCATGTGAGGTGATATCTACCAATTACCGTACATCAATGCTCACAATACTTACAATATTGACAATGCTTACAATGCTGTTACAATACTTACGATGAGACCAGCAAGCACTCTGCCGTTACAGTTCAAACTTCTGTTTCGAAAACCGACGTTACACACATTCGCTGCCAGCATAACATGTATTGTTTGACAGTAACAAAATACAATTGACATCTGAACCCCAAACGGACCGCCATCCACTCAAATTTTATAACCCTGACCGGTCAGGGGGCGAATGGAGCTCATCTCCTGGGCATTACACTCAGCCTTTGCACAAAATATCTCACCCCACAGTGATCATTACAACAATATCACCGACTTGATAGTGGATTTCAAAGTACTTGCATCAGCTCTTCTTGCTATTGCAGACGATCATCTCCTCAGGGTGATGTTGTTCGGGACATAAACGAAAATCGTTTTCGGAGTTTCATAAGTGCTACTGCAACAGCCTGGCACAAAACAGGACTTGTACGCTTTTCTCTGCACTTTGCCCTTCAGTATATCACAAAATAATTGTTTAGAATCCATCTTACGCTTCTTTCACAGTCTCCCTTGCCACCGTAGGGCGTAGATAGGTTGCTGTTGCTGGTAAGTTAAGGCACGGTAGATAGAAATTACCTCGGTTCTCAACGCCTTAATTTATTTTTATGAAAAAGAACAAAGCAATTATTAATAAGATTAGAGAAATGTTAAAATTTTAATTGTAGATTAGGCCAAATGCGTATTGGAAAGGCTTTTGCCCTTCAGCATCTTCCGATTCATCATGTTTTTCATTAGAAAATTCGAGGTTCACAAAATGTTTACCACGCGCTCAATGTTAAATGGGAACAGTACACGGCAGAGCATCAATTTTTGACACTGAACCTTTCATTCGTGAATGCTTTACCATAATTTAAAGCTAAAAACAGCGCGAATAGCAAAGTGAAACAAACAACCTCTTTCGCACATAGAGATAACATGTAATCGGTGGTGCGCCAGATGCGCCATTATTTGTCAACCGCAGAAGGTGACATGTGACGTAACAGCATCAAGAGCGTCTTTTTCAAGAACTTTAAAAAATATGTTTTCTATATGTCTTCCCCCATTTCTCTCAGCATAATGCTTTTATGAGGAAACTGTATGCACCATAAATTCTGCAAAAATAGTCTGATCATTTCTATACATTCTTCAAAAATCGAGTTCCCAACCCCATTGTGCTGTGTATGTTTGTATAAGAAAAAGAAGTGTAACATATCAATTATCATCTTATCGAAAGGTCATGCTTTAAAAGTTGAACGTGTCAAAAATGTATATTTAGTTTTTATAATCTCGAGTCTCATGTGCAGAATGGTTAAAAAATGTCCAGGTCATGTGTATTTTGAAAGTGTAAAAGATTATATTGAATAATTTATTAATGTATTAGTATCTCGGTATTGTCACTGACGAAGGCACCCTGAGGCCGAAACGTCTGGCTATTTAGAATATTTGCTTTTGTGTTATCATCGAAAGTGAATAAATATCACAATGTCTGACACGATACCTAGCAATGTGTTGTGATGATCTTTTCTACTTTATGTAACTCTCTTAATAACGCTTCTAGTTTCATATGCATGCCAAATAACGGACCCGGATAACCAGGGGTGGAGATCTGTCAAAATGTCAGGGGGGGGATCCAGGCCGGGCAGATGGAGGCGGACTGGATGTAGTAACTAGTACCATTGACTTACATAGCAGTAATTCGTTTTCAGGGGGGGGGGGGGGGTCCTGACCCCCCCGACCCCCCCTCCGACATCTCAACCTCTGCGGATAACCCAGAAAACGGCTTATAAAATGATTATATTAGATGTCAACATTGTCCAGGAGTTGCCGTACTCACCCACGCATGGGAAACATATCGCATCATGCTCATCATATGACAGGATTGACAGAATATCTAATTGGCAGGCTCAGAATATCATCAAAGCCTAAAATGCTGCGACTAAATCGTCCCTTAATTGATGGATATACCGACAATTAGTAATGAGGTTGAGCAGTCGCGTTCGACTGACATTGATGTGAGTCCACGGACGGTGAGGTTCGCAGGAAATCCATCTATTAATGATTCCGACTACTGCCGAGCAGACTAAATGATTCGACAGCTCGCCAAAAATATCGGAGCCGTAGAATTGTGACCTAAATTGTGGACTAAAATGGATTCGGAAAAAAGAGATGCAATGCTCGATGGGTAGGATCCCGTGGCTTCAATCAGTAATCACGCAGTGAAAACAAAAGGCACTGTTACAATAGGTCTCGACCTGCGGTTATTTTCCGAATAATACGCCAGAACGTTAAATAGCTTTCACCATTTATTCTTGCTAGTGGAACTTCGTTCATTCTACTTCACGTAAGCTATTTCTGATACGAATCGACCAACAGCAAACGCCCCTACATAACTGCGTTAGCTTCTCCTGGCATTGAAAATCCCCTTTCGGCTGGAGTAGGTATTAGTGGTGCCAATTTTATGAAATTTCAATTCCAATTCCGATCCAATTCCAAGAAATTGCCAAGTAAATTTCCAATTTTGTCCAAAGCGGGGGCTATTCCAATTTTTAACGATTTTTGCATTTTTTGCGTAAATTTTAAAAGTGTTTAAAAGCGTTTTAAAGGCCTCTGTTTTAAAATTTAAAATTTTAAAGGCCTTGTGTTCCGATTAATTTCCAAAAAATGTTAAGAATTCCGTCCAAATTCCAAATTGGAATTGGACAAAAATTGGAATTCCACGAAAAGAAATTCCGATTGGCACCAATAGTAGGTATACTCCGCGAAAGCGTATGCGAGGGCACTCTCGTGGCCACCGCGCCGCGCGGTCCTTGGTTTCATGTTCAGCGGCACAGCCTAGCCTGTCAGGCGTCCACCGCTGCTGCCATCTAGTGGCAAGATAATAAGCTGCCGTCCCGTCAGCGCGCGGCACTCCGGAGGGCCGTCGCTCTCCAAATTCATTGTCTGCTGTAGGCTGGCCAGTGAAGAATGTGAATGTGAAGAGTGAATAATGGGATTTGAACGCCGCTATCACACAGTATCAGTAAATGGCAAGTCCTTGGTTGGCTGGTAAACGAGAACTTTATAGATACCTATGTAGATAATGCAAATGCAAAAATATGGGATGCCTACTAGGCACTGAATATAATGCAGCTCCTTACTAAAAACACTTTCCTTTCCAGCGCTTGGACATTTCGGAGCATATGATGCCAGACCTGTATCCTATCTGTCCTGATCCTGCCATCTTATGACACTACCTGTTTTTTTTTATGCAGTCTGACGCAATATCAACCGTTGAAAATCAAACAGTTTATCTAAAGCAAAACAAACTGCCGGCGATAAGTATTGAGCGCATGGCTGGAAATGTATCGCGCTGGTGTCGAGCTGCAATCTGGCTGTTCCCGCAGCTAAGGTCAGCCATTTCTGGTGATCCATCGGGCGGCGACGATCGGTTGCCTTTGTCGGTGGCGCCGTGTCTTTAGAGCGCCGATCGGCGGTGGTGGCCGCGGCCGCTATCGACACTACCGCAGTGCTGTCCATTTCTCGCCCCCGCCCGGCCGTGCCACGGCGGCAGCGCGCGTTATTGCGATCGTTCGTATTAACAACAGTGGACGGGTGACCGGGCCGGCCCGGCGGCGCACCAAATTGGATCGGCTGGCGGCGGCGAGCGGGGTGTGCCGGGGGTGGGCTGGGGGTCAGATGTCGGGGGAGCGCAGGGGTCGGGCTGAGGGTCAGATGTCGGGGGAGCGCCGGGTCAGCCACAGGTCACCAATGGTCATTTCAGACGGACGAGGAGACTGAGTTGATTTTAGGGGTATGAGATTACAGGGACATAGCAGGAGTCGACTTGGTAATATTAAAAAAAAAACAGTTTTATTGCAAAAAAAGACAACTAAAAACTTTCCCAATTCACAAAACATCTTTAGCTAGAACATTCCCACTTCACATGACTATCTCCAGACCAAATGAACAACTATGTAGAGCCGAAAGAGCGACTTGGCATGATCTCCTCTCGTCAGCCTATAAAGTCCTTTTGATCCGGAGTTGTATAGCGGGAGGATGGTCGACCAACCAGACTAAAGCGACACATAGCCGCCTTCTGATGAATATCGGCTAAATTAACCGGTTCTTTTCAATAAAGTAAAGCAGGTCAGCCAGCGATCATTTTTAGCGACCCCAGAACTCGACATTTAAGGAGTAACTTATTCGCCCAGCTGCGTCCTAAACACGTTTAATGGCACGCGAGCAGCAAATGTGGATTAGGGGCGCCACTCCCATCCACCAAACCCAGGGGCACATTACCGAATCTGCCGACAGGTTGAGTGCCGAATAGAGACAGGTACGGTAACGATGTCATCATTTAGCGACCCAGGCGGTGCTCGGTGCCGCATTATGCCGGCTGCGCCCCGCGGCGACCATTGCCTTTAAAGGGCGCCGGGCGGCCGCCGCCCGGCGCGGTGCTTACGAAGCCCACTGTCCTCGTTAGGCACAACAATGGCCCAGTACTATCGGCCGATCCGCCGTCCGGCCGGCCGGCCTCCATACAAACGGCCCCCAGTTAAAGTCTCGCACTCAATTACTTTCGCGAATCATTATGGCCATTCATTGTCTTGCGGCGCCCATTGTCGCACGGAGACGCAGCGCCACGATAAAACGCCCAAGTGAATTAAGTCGGCGTCAGTGCTGCATTAGCTGCGACGGAAATTCAGTTCATAGCGCGTGATCTACGGGCGCACGTGCCGCTCACACGCACACAACGGTCACGAAGAGCGGCCGGGTCGCCGACCTGCACATGACCTACTTCTGAACCGACCCTCTGGGTCTACCTTCCTCCTCCAGCGACATACACACGTCAAACAGCCCGCTAAGAACCGATAGATATATTGTATCTGAGCGCGAGTCGGCACCGCTCGGCAGGTGTCGCGGCGGCCGGCGGCGGACGGTAGGCGCGACACACACCGTCCCAGCCGCCGGAGGAATGTATAGCCACCGGCGCGCAGGGCCAACCCGAGATCACAGCAAGGCGCGCGCCTCAGGAAAGTCCTTTTCACGGCCCCGTCCCGCCCCAATGGTGGCCAGAGGTCCTTCGAGTCAGCCGGCCGGCGCCGCTCCGTAGAGACAACGACCGGCCGGCCGCTCCACAGACCTAGTTCCAGCCGCCCCCAACAGATGGCAATGATGCGCCAGCGCTACTGCGCCATCCGCGCCGTTTTCGCCTTCTTTACCCGCTTCAGGGAGTCCATGCTGGAGAGCATCAGCTTCGAGTAGGCCTCCTGGAACTTTTCCACGTTCTGACCGGAGACCTGGTGACAAAACGGCGAGGTTGGTTAGTTTCATCAATGTAGACAGAGTAGACGTTTCATATAGTTTCCTAGTTAGTTTCATTAATGTAGACGGCTCTATTCATTGACATCAACTTCTTGAACCTATTGAAAGCCACGAAGCCAAAGCCCTGCACTGCGCGCTTGCCAAACAAGCAGCCCGACACATCGGCATACATCGCACACACATTCATTGGGGTCACCGGCGGGGTGTCCCATACACACATACTGCACAGACCGCCGGCCCGGCCCGGGGCTGGTGTACACAGACCCGTCGCCACCTTCCGTAAACACACATAGAGCGAGGACGGCGCGTCCCACCCATCGGACGGCGGACGCCAAACAAATTAGTCGCGCGCCGGGCGCCGTGTCAAAGCACATCGCGCTTCAGGAGCGGGGTGGCAGGCAGCTGCCAGCAGAGGCGCGTAACTGCATCGAGATAATTCAGCAGCGCCCCTGACTACGGGACAAGCCAATATTGTGTACGGAACTGAATGCACAAGGATTACCGAAACGGGCGTAAATTGAAAGTGAGCGACAATATTGCGACGGGAACAATCCGGGAATGAGACTGGTCTTTTACCATTTATCTCCAGAAGTTATACGGCGAAACGGTAATTATGAGGAAGTGCGCAAGAGACCGTCGGACATTCAGTGACCGTTGCTGACGAATAACAGGCTAACTAATGACTATGTCTAACCTTGGAGACGCGGTAAATTACGGGATGAATCGACAAAGGCAGCCAGTCCAATCAGTCCAATCACCTGGGGCTAGAGTTTGGAGACCCCATAACACTACTTCCGCTACCGCTGCGCAGGAGCAGAATTAGCTGAATTGAGGCAGCGATCACACGCCCTAATTAACTCACTCAATAAGGCGCGCTTACATCAAGGCAGCCCGCTTCAAAGCGATCAGTTCGATCCAAGAATAATCCTCCCAGGCACAGCCGATAGCCGCTATCGCAGGCTTGTCTTCACTGAAACGGGGCTCCTGCACGATCTCATGCGCCGCACGCGGGCACCGGCCGCCGCCAGCCAGTCTCTCGGCGGCATATCTCCACCAGGTAATGGGTATTGAGCGCGCCCGTGAAACCGCCGCGCTCGCTTACAGAGAACCGCAGCCCAGACCGCAGCCCACGGGTCGGCACGGGAGACCCAGCCGCCGCCGGCCTTGAAATGACAGATGCCCGACGGCTCGACGGCGCCGGGCGGGCGCCGCGGTGGCTCCCGGTGGACTCCTCTGTCGGCCAGGACGGTCGATCTGCCTGCTGCTGATCAAATATTCCGCCACCGCCGCCAGAGGAACCGCCATTCCAAGCGGTCCGACCCGGTGCTCGGCAGTGTGGAATACTCCATGGGGAAGAGGAGGGGAAAGACGTATCGTAGAGTAAGACGGCAGCCGAATTAGCACGTCTGCAGATAATCGCTAAGTCATCGGCGACTGCTCGTCTTCAGCTTTTGCCCAACGTTGTTAAGTATTCAGCGTCTCTCCTTCGAACTCTTTCCGCGCCAGGCCTCTCGACACGGGACACTTAGATGATCCCACTTTAAAACACACCGTCGGAGCTTGGAGGTGGGCGTTCGCTCACACTCTGTTTAACCGACAGCAAACGGAAACCGGGGGCGGGTGTCGACCCACGCTATCAGCGACACCCGGGGTTCCAACGCCAGCCTCATGGGTGTTCCTTGAATGGAAGTCCCTGTACAGTGTACGCCTACCGGTGCACACATTTAGACGTGTTTAATTACTCAGTGCAAGGTGACTGCATGACCTCACATGGAAATTTCCAGAACAGTTAGTGGTTCATTAATATCTAAAGTAACTTCTTAAAACATTATATTTCTGCCACTGAATATCAGTTCTGGGTGGTGAGCCGGGGGCAACCTTACTGGTAATATAAATTATAACAACTGTATCATGAGATGATTCACAAAACCCAACAGCTAAGTCGTAGTCCGATGAGTGTAAAAGCGAATGAGGCTGTCTGGGCAAACGGAAACACTTTATCCCACGCCACCGTTGGCTCTGATGATAAACCCCAGTCACCCCATTCATGTCGCCACCCCTTGATGTACCCAAACGGGCGTCATGTCATGTCAGCGGCAGTCGTCTACTGTCGCCATTTATGACCCTCAGCGTCCCGTCTGGCACGACTGCACCCCATCCGCACCCGGCACCGAGCCGCGAAAACGGTCACTTCCGCGAAACCGTCCACCAGTACCGCCCGGGCGGGCGGGGCGGCAGCGGGGCGGCAGCGCCTGGCACGCCCCCGCCGCAGCTCCGTGCCGGCGTCGATTACTCGACAGAGTCTAGCGACCCTCAGTTTAGCGACATTAACCGGCGCGTAGTGCTGTGCAGGTCCTCAGCACGCGCAGCGCACTACAGCCGAGTAACTACCGGCGTCACGAACTGCCTCCCGTACGAGCAACGTGTGACAGGGCGACCATTGTTTGTTTTGTTGGGTTAGGCCCTTTCGGTCGACAAGACCATTGCAGAGCCGGAAGGATGATAGGAATTAGGGGGAGACATTGGTCTGGGCAGGCATCCTAGTGAGTCGCCGGGGCTGAGCCCGTCCAGAGGACAGGCCACCCAGCCCCAAGGCACTCACTGCACCCGGCTACGGGGTGCGCTCCCTCAGGAGCAGCGGTGCCGCTCCAAGGGAGCAGCCCGCATGAGATAAAGTTGCCTGTCCAGCCCGGAGGGGGTTGCGGCGTGGAGGAGAAGGATTTCTGTATCCTGAGGATAGAAGCACGGAACGGTGGCGACCATTGAACTCTGAAGGTAGGCAGGGACGTGTAATGGCACTGTGCTCGAAGTATGACAGACCCCACCGCTGCCTACTGGTGCGATTGCAGCGCCATCAGAAGATCGGCTGGGAAACTACTCACCACGGTGCTGATCTTCTTTTGTCGGAGCCGCGCCCGGACAAGGCACTGGTATTGCTCGGGCTTGGGCAGCGGGTTTTTGGCAGCGTTCTTGGTGCCCGGCCGCGGCTCTGGACGATTCCGGCCGTCATCTGACAGGAAAGAAACACAGAATCAAGCAAGGAAACATACAATAGGTACAAAGCAAACGGAAACCCACCCCATTATTAGAAACTACCATCAGAATGAGTTTGTCCTCCTCCCACTCAGTTAGCAGCGCGTTTTATGTCGATAATTTCCTCCACGCACACATAAGGATTTCCTACAGTTCAGAAGTGACAGATTTTGTCGGTCTGAGATATTTAAGCAAACAATAGAGGATGGGGCAGATTTAGCGATGTTCCGAAATATTATGTAACATCAACGAAAAGAAAACGTAAAAGCCTGAGCGTGGGCTTCTGACGGAGCTACGCCTTATTTTATCATGTAAATGCAGTCCATTACGACAACGGAGGGCAAACAGACTATTTAAATGATATTTGCACACTGCCATAAGGAACAGCATGCGAATCACATTAACACATTTAAAGCTTGACAAATCAATGCCATAATTAAAATAATAAGAATTAAGTTTGATCTGCTTTTAACAATGCAGTGCGCTGTTTTCTCATATCAGAACAGGATAGAGGTAGCAGAACAGCTGCTAAGAGGCGAACTTACATCGTTTCATGGTGACAGTGACGGCGCCTTTCGACCGGCCATCATAGAACATCAGCGTCAGAGCCGTCAGAAACTGCCAATAGAAGAAACACTGTCAGAAACTTCTAATACAGAGAAGGAGCGAGGAATTTATACTACGAGGTCAGGAACTACCCGAACTACCAACGCAGAGAGCGGCGTCGAAAACTGGCAATACAGAATACGGCGACTGACAACGACATAGTGGCAGAACGGAATATGATGTCATCGTCGTAAACTTCTAGCCAGAGTAGAACTAGAAGTCAGTGTCAGTCAGTCTGTTGTCAGTGAGAAACTGACAAGACGTGCAGGACAAGGCATGATGAGTGATTAGGTTCTGGCGATAACTTGACTGATGCGCACACGCCGAATAGAGCGGATAAACGGATGTTTCAACATATGAATCTAGTTGCCACCTGCTAGACAGTTTAACTTAACTGTTGAGGTAACCTTTCAATTTTGTTCGTGACACAACCGGCAGGTAAATCATGCCGTCATTCCATTCACAACTACGAGGTTATCAGTGAAACACTTTAGCTACTTACCGGCTCATTTTCCATCAGCATGTGTGACTTCTGTGTGTGAGACGGCTGAGGTGAAAAACAACTATCTGCAACAAGCAACGTACAGCAGGTCAGATCGCGGAGCGTTACGAGGTAAAATCAAGCTATGGTTGAAATTTACCTGCTTTGGAACGGATGGGACATTAAAAAAGCCTAAAACCGGTCTTACTCTGGCGATTGAAGCAAATGCGATTTCGTTTCTGTTGGACAGTGCAAGCCTGACAGGATTTAGGGTGTATATCACCATCTTTTTATCAGAAAACAAAATGGCATGGAACAAATTTAAGGATGTATGGATCATTCAACCACCACCAAAACTTATAGGCGTTTGACGTTACCAGGTATCGAATATCGATCAAGTATTTCGATCACCAATGAGCAACGTAGTGAAACTTGCCAATTGACGCAACGTAATTGGGTTATATTGCGAGGACGAGTCAATGAAACTTCCTAGTTCCCAGAAAGTGTCTGCAGAGGCTCATCTATGACTATGGGAATAAGCCAACTTTTTAGAAGTAGGAAGAGCTCACGCAAACTTCCTGCAGGGCCCGAATAAAATTTACGCTAGCACAATACAGTGGGGCATGTTTTCCTGGCAGTGAAAGCTGAAAATGGCTACGAACCTGCGTAGACTGAAAACCGGGTACCAATGGAGACGGCAACGAGTGAACGGGATGTCCAATGCGCACTCGGAACCTGCTGCACCCATTGGCAGTTGACAGTTGACACCCTCGGATCTGTGGTACCATGTGTTTCATTTGATAATTCATAAAGCCCTTGTTCGTGTGACCAGTCAATTAGCTGCTCGAACTGCATCTTTTTCAGAGGTCAGGCATAGCTGGTCACCCGCCGCCCATAAATCATCAGGACCTAGCTAGTGCAGTGGTTATCGTAGAGGTCTGGACATATGAAGGTCCGTGAATCGAGTCCGGGTGCGGTCTGAGTGCAACTGCTTCTTGAGCTGTTCGATGCGCAGGAATGCTTTGGTTTACCCGTCCGCAACGGACTATAGAATGATGGCTGAACTAGCACAACGTGAGATCTACGGTGGGTATGATAGAGAAAGTCGGTGTCGCACGTCGTCGTCATGCCATTGGCTTAGCTCCGCTTTTCTGAACACGCAGCGAATCATTTATGTTTGTATATACCTATTTTGTATTGTTCGGAAGAGTCCATTTCTTACAAGATCAAAAATTCGTGCTAACTAAGTAGGAGATGCTGAAAGACGTTTATATCTGTTCCATAGAACAATTCTACTTAAAAAGCTGAATACATTTGATCATTTTACTATCGCTAGCCACACAGCAAAAAGGCCCATTTAGTTCATATATAATTCATTGGTCTTCCACAAACACATTGATATTTACAAGACACCAAGACTTATAACTGCTGCACGAGCAGCATAATCGAACATGTAAGAACAAAAATCCAGTGATGACCGGATCGTTACTATCCGTACCAGAAACACCTTAGCAAACCATATGAGACAAACAGTGCGGTCCTAAATGTAAGTGTTTGGGCGACAGACAACGACTGCATTTACAACGGCCAAATTACAATTAAATGGACATCAATGAATAAAAAGCACAAACATGGCACCATGAAGTTTAGCAGGCAGCTGAATTGGACAGGTAACGCGAGGCCTTGCCTTACAAACGTCTAAATCATGTAAACGTAAATCCGAATTCGACAAGCTTGGTAAACACTGGGCAAAAGGAAAGCATCGTGACAGACATTTATCACAATTCGGCGAGCACAACGCCACAACAGTCTGATATATACAGCGCAGTCCAGCGCGTGGATCTATGTCTACCGAACACAAAACGTAACGCGGTGAAGACTATCGCCCTATGTGCATAACACATAGCCCAGCGTGGTAGAGCGACCATTGTAGTTGTACAATATACACACAGCGCGGTGGATAGAATTAGAGTCCGGTGGCCTTTAGCGAATAGACCAGTTGACACACCCCAAGGACATCAACTTGTGTCACAGTGGGTTGTAGTACAACTCTTTCAGTTGTAGTCAGAAATAGCGACTGACGTGGGTGACAAGAGCCACGCTCCGCGTTTAGCTGTCCCAGCTGTAGCGGTTGAGACCCGAGGGGCCGGGAGCACCAGCGCCTCCCTCGCGTTGCTGCTTCTCCTGGAAGTATCTCGAAGAGGCCAGCGGCACAGTGAGCTTGATGGGCGGTCGGCTGCTCTGAACTGGTGCGCCAGGCACCAGTCGCGGCCGTCCCCGTCCCCGACGAGTGGGCGTCTGACTTGGTGCCGGGGGAGCGGGCGGAGGTGGCGGTACCGAGCTGTGGCCACCCCGACCGCGGCCACGGCCCCGTGAGGTGCTCCCACGGGGACGGCCCCGCTTTCTGCCGGTGCCCCTCTTACGACGAGGCTGGTGAAGCTCCAGGAACGAGGCTGGCGGTCCTCCGGGTGACGGCAGTGGCGTGATGTCCATATCTACCATCAGCGAGCCCTCCGGACTGGTTTCTTCGCGCCCCTCCGGACCGCCGCCTCCTTCCGCAGACCACTCGCTGGTCGCCCGGCTCGCTGGCCGAGAGTCCAGCGGTGAGGAGAGCTGAGACAGGTCCTCCTGGTCCGTACGGGACCGTTTCTCACTACCACTGCTGCTGGGCTGGTCAGCTCTCCGCTTCCTTTCCTGCTGCGACTCAGCCTGGCGCGCTCGAAAGTTCTTCTCAATGACGTCGTCACCCAGCAGGAGGGAGACCACCTCCTTGGCATTCAGCCGGTCGGGACGGAAGTTGCCACCGCTGATGACCATGCGCTGGATCTCGTTTTTCTCTCTGGCGCGCTCCAAGATGCGCTCCTCGATGGTGCCCTTGCTGATAAGGCGGTAGACCGTCACCTGACGAGTCTGACCGAGCCGGTGAGCTCTATCCATCGCCTGCTGGTCCACGGTCGGGTTCCAGTCACTGTCGTAGAATATCACGGTGTCTGCCGCCGTGAGGTTGATGCCCAGACCGCCAGCTCTGGTGCTCAGCAGGAACACGAAGATGTCTGACCGCGTCTGGAAGTCTTCCACCATATCGCGTCTCTCTGAGATCTTTGACGAGCCGTCCAATCGCGAGTACTTGTGGTGGCGGTAGAACATGTACTCTTCGAGGAGGTCGATCATGCGAGTCATCTGGGAGTAGATGAGGACGCGATGTCCACCATCCTTCAGCTTCTTGAGAAGAGAGTCCAGCACGTACAGCTTCCCAGCGTCGGTAATCAGCGTCCGCTTGTCGGGAATGATGAGCTGCGACCAGCCGTGTGGTGGACGAAGTGGGGACAGGCCGCCGCTCTCGACTGTCGTCAGCCGGTGGCTGCGCTGTTGTTCCTCCACCGCTCCTTCTGGTGATCCGAACAGCAGAACATCACGTCCCTCCGGTGAGCCGCAGTGGAGGTAGTCGTCCCACCACCAAGCAGCGCTGCGATCAGAGCAGTACAGCTCCAGGGGACATGCCATCGCCTTTCGCGGTGTCTGCTGAAGGAAGGCTGGAAGGTCGGTGGGCTGCATGAGCAGAACCTCGGCAGGCCGCGGACGGTGCCGAAACTCGGGCAGTAGCTGCAGTTTCTTCTCGACCGACTTGCTTCCCGCAGTAGTCCTAGTCTCCACCGGCACAAGACTGGTGGTCGCTTGGGCTGTCGGCTCTCCGGCAGTTTTCCTGGTGCGCAGCATGCGGTGCTCCAGGGTCTCGGGCCGACACTCGAGGCGGTGGGTGACGTGCGCGTAGAACTGCGCGGTGTGACTGGTGAAGATGAGCGAAGAAGGTCGCTGAAGCCCGTCACACGGTCCGTCCAGCAGCAGAGCATGTCGTCCCAGCCGTCGTCCAGGCAGAGTCGGCTGTCGGCGCCGCCGCTCGGCAGCCTCCAAGGCCGCCCTCAGCAGCCGCCAGCGGCGCACCGGATCGCTGGCAGCAGCGCACAGCTCCCCCGCAGACTGGTCCACGAAACGCAGGAACGAGAAGGTGCTCGAGCAGCGCAGCTCACCGTCGGTCAGAGTCACCGTGTCCAGGCTACGGTTAACATGTTCGCCGGTGAAGACGTTCAGCTTGTTGTATAGCACATGCTGGACGCTGCGCTGAGAGCGGTGAAGCAGTGCCTCCCGGAACACGAGCCGAGGCAGCTGGAACGCCGGCAGTCGTACCAGGAACGGACTGTACACGTCACGGCGCTCGAACAGCTCTGGATGGTTGCACACCTTCCTGAACTGCATCACCAGGTTGAGCAGGCTGGTGGTGACCTGACTGTACTGGCCGCCTCCCTGAGCGCTCCTCAGCAGCTCGTCGATACTGGTCTTCTTCAGGCCCTGGTAGAGCAGCCTCTGGCGGATGGTGAGCGGGCAGTAGACCATCACTTCGATCTTGTCCGTCAGCTCGTTCTCCACATCACGCTTGACGCGGCGCAGCATGAATGGCTTCAGGATCATGTGCAGCCGACTGAGGTGCGTCTCATCGATGTCACCTTTGACGCGGTTTTCTGCGTGGTTCTCAATGTCACGGCTGAACCAGTCGTTGAACTCTCGATGAGAGTCGAACAGTGAGGGCATGATGAAGTGCAGCAGCGCCCACAGTTCCGCCATCGAGTTTTGGATGGGTGTGCCAGTCAGCAAGATGCGGCTGCGGCACTTGAAGCCGAGCAGGTTCTTCCAGCGCTGGCTGTTGGTGCTTTTGATGGCCTGAGCCTCGTCCAGCACCATGCACTGCCAGTCGATCCTGCTGAAGTACTTGATGTCGGAGACAACCAGCTGGTAAGATGTGACTACCACGTGGAAACTCGCCTCTTCGGTGTGCAGGTTCGCTTGTTCCCAGAATGTTCGCAGGACTTTGCGGTCCTGTGTGTTCCCCCAGTAAGGGACCACTTTGAAGGCCGGCAGGAACCTGGCCAATTCCTGTTGCCAGTTATGCAGCGTGGAAGCAGGTGACACGATCAGGAAAGGGCCCCAGATGCCGTAATGTTCAGCCAGATGAGCCAGGAACGCTATCGTTTGCACCGTCTTGCCCAGGCCCATCTCATCCGCTAGAATGCCGTTGATGCCAGAATCAAACAGATTGGCAATCCAGTTCATGCCTTTCAGTTGATAGCTCTTCAGATGTCCCTTGAACAGGCTGGGCTGCGGGTAGTCGCTGGTTTCTGTTACCCCAAGCTGGTCTGGTTGATTCCCTGAGTCTTCCGGGAGAGGTGAGAGCCTTTCCGTCTTCACTGGCGCGTTTCCAGATGCTCCCGAGGTGTCATCTGCGGCAGCACCGCTGGGCGTGTGCTCAAACTGGGCCACGTACTGACGACTGCGTTCAGCCGCCGCTCTGGCATTCTGCAAAGCCAGCATCTTTGCTGCCTCGCTGTCATAGTCGTCGATTGCGGCGAGGCGCACGTCCGCTTTGCCCTCGTCCAAGTGACCAAGGATGGCCTCCTGACAGCGACCAGCAGACTTTGGCCCGATGAAGTGAGCGTACAGCTCTGTCTGGGTGATAAGGAAGTTGAGCTTCCTCTGTTGGCGTTTCGCCTCCAGAAGCTCTGAGCTGATTTTCTTTTGTTCGATTTCCTGCTTCTCCAGTCGCTTTCGCGTCTCTTTTTCAACGCGGTTGTAGTGCTTCCAGTAGCTCTGCATCTCACGTGTCAGACGCTTCATCTTGCTGGTCACGTCTTTCTCCAACTTCTGGGACTGCAACGCCTTCTGGCGGCAGGCGCGCATACAGCCGGTGGCCAGCCGCTTCAGGATAACCAGTTTATCCTTTCGTCCATTGACCATCGAGCGCTGCACCTTTCCAACTTCCTTCTTGCTGACGTACAGCCACAACTTTCGACGCTGGGTGGCGAGAGCCTTCATCGTATCTCGTTCCTGCTTGATAGCTCTCTTGATACGCCTCTGTCCGTCGGAAGAGGAACGCGATTTCTTCGCACCGTAGGGCCGGCCGTCGGAGCGCTCTCCGCCCAGGTCCGTCAGCTCCAGGTCAAGGGCAGGGTCCACTGACAGAAGACCAGGCTCTTCCGCGTCGCCTCCGAGCGGCCCGGTGCTGGAGGGCGGCCGTTCCGCCAGATCGGCGCTGGACGAGAGCGTCGCAGACGGATGGCGGTCGTGTTCACTCAGCAAGCCAGCCGAGTAGTACAGGTGGCCGCTTGAAACGGGATGCACGCGGTACTGACGACTGAGTTTGCGCTGCATCCGGTGTTGCTGCAGCATCCTGGCTAGGTCGAGCTGGTTCAACGGTCGCTCACATTCGTCATCGTTGTCCCAGAATTCGTCGTCAGAGGAGCCGAGCAGGTCCTCGGCCAACCGCCGCCGAGACCGGGACAGGCCCGCGCCCGATAGCCACCAGGGCCCATCACTGTCGGAGGGTGGAGTCCGATCTGGAGCTGAGTCGATCGTTTCTCCATCTGAAGACTCGGTCTGCTCTGAGGGAACTCCGGCCAATTCATTGTAAGTCCCTTCCCAGTCTGTATCAGCACAGCTGTCCAGGTCTTCCTTGGATTTCTTTATTTGCTGAATAAATCCAGTAAGGTCCAGAGCTCGCTGAAGTCTCTGGACATGTAACGCCACAGCCAGATCATTTCTGTCACCCATGATGCCCACCTTCTCATGAGACTTATGTCTTAAACATTTTCCTTGACTGGAAGGTCGCTGATGTCTTCTGTCAGGTCTTGAGTCAGGTATTCAGTTGATCTCTAGAGGTGGAAGGCAGAAGTATATCAATTGTTGAATTCAGGCTCAGATTTTATTCATGCAGCTTGAAACACAGCCACTGCCACCAGCTCACCATGGCACAAGGTATTCCATCACAGGGCATTCCCTTCAATACATACTGCAAAGTGACCACAGTGCACACTGAAGGAGCTTGAACTGGGTTGACATTAGTCACAAAACATTTCATTACCTCTTATATGTATTCATTTCTCTTATCCAAGCAAGTACTAGGCAATGTGGGTGCTCAGACTCAGATCAAAATTTGTCTGAGCAATAAGCTTTCAAAATGACACAACCAGCCATAAGATGCCAATCAGATGAGCCATACTTTCCCATGCATATGTCAGTAACATACAATTCCAGTTCACCACATGACCATATGGCTGCTAATGGTGGAGATAGCTTGGACAGCACAACCATCTGTGAGTGTAATATCAATTAGACCATCTACTTATGACTGTACCTAATGTAAATACCAACAAAAAGGTTAAGTCATTTAGAAAAATTATGCAGACAGAAGAATGGGCTCAGTCAATTATCATCCAGCCTAACCATAACAATAAAAATACAAATCACTAAAGAGATGACAATATACCCAGGAGTGACTGTGACACTGCCTTATGCTGACTGCTCAACTTTTTATCTGGACCTATCAATTCAAACACACTAGTTTTGCTTGGTGGTCATTCTTTCAGTCCTTTTGCCCTCCTGTAATTTCATATATACCTATGGATCAAGATATCATTGAATGCTTCATCAAAGTTTTGCTGGCATGCTTAAGAACAGCAAACCTGTGACACGCTGATATGAATGAAGAATGGCAACCAGCAGTCACAGGTCTATAAGGATGATACCTACTGATGATACTTAGCCATCTTGCTTTAGGTAAGAGACAAGAGTTGATCCAGGTGACTTGACAAGGTGAAAGGGTACTGGATAGTTTAAATAACCCATTGAAAGCCAGCATTATCGCATGTCATAATACCTGTCTTTTATAAAACAATGGATTCTCTGAGCCTTTCAGCCATCTGTTCAATCTGAATCGTTGATTCATAACTAGGACTGAATACATTAAATTGTACATCTTTGTAAGTCCTTCCATTCAAAAGGTTCGGAATAAGTTAATTAAAAGATTTATACATGTTGCTTTCAATTTCAGTACCTATCACTATCACCAGTCACCACTTCAAACTCTCTGCAAGCTGGCCAGGGGCCACGCTGACGCCATCACCATTGCGTAAATTAGCACTCCACTTCTGGCTTGTCAAGAAAAAATAGCATACAAAATCGTACTCTCGTCAATCGTGATTTACACAGAACAAAAATGTTACACTTTAAGCATTTATTTTCATTAAAAATAAAAATAAACTGACAAATACCAACCCACCTTCCTGTCCCTCGACGCGCATTGCACACGCGCATTCATTCGCGCACAAAAAGTAACAGCTGCGTCGTATTTGATTTGTAGTATTCCTAACTTTCATTCTCTGTGGAGTTAATAATTATTTTTACTTAGAATATCTCATTATATTTATTCCAAGGCCATAATTTATTCAATTCTTATGAAAAGCACAAGAGACTTGGGTAGATTATTTTCCAGGAAAGAAAAGAGATCAGAAAAATGAACAATTACCACTACTATTTAATTTGTTTCGTTTATGGCGTCGTAAAGACGAATAATAATTTTCACTCTATAATGTCCAAAACCAATGAAAACATTGGTCACTTTTGCGCGCTCGACGACCCCACGCTCCGTTGAGAGGTCGAGATAATAAAGTTATGTCGGTTATATGAACGCGATATAAGCCATTAGATAGGTACCTATCAAATCTATATCAAAGATATCAAGATACTGCACCATCCTACTAATTGATACTTTTCAAAATTTCACACAAACTTAAGGTAAATATTAGCCTGTGTGGTCTTCATCTTACTGTTGTCCTGTGGGGCTACAACGGTTACAACTATGTAATTGCGTCCTGCCAATGAAAAATTCCACATTTATGCATGCACACTAACTTCTTTGTATTTGTAACTTCAATAGTAGGACTGTTGAAATAGGGACAACTGTGAAAACAGGGCCCCTGGGGCAATTTGATCAAGGCTCTTGAAATGCACTCGACACCAACCATGTGACAACCACCGTGTAGAAGGGGTAGAGAGGGGGAGAACTTCTTTAACAGTCACATGACCAAACATGCCCTCCGGCGCCCTGTTTCCACCGACGTCTTGAAACAGGACTGTGGGAAAACGTGAGCCTAATTAAAAGTATAGCCTCCATTCTGTTGTTTCAATCCTCAGGATAGTCTAATCGTGTCCTCCACACCTTGAACACCATGCTCCAGGCTGGATGGTCACTTTTATCCCACATGTGTACTGTGTAGCTCCACCTCAAGAGCAGGCCCATGGCCAGGTGCAAGGACTAATAGCTGGGTGGCCTCCCCAGCACATGATGGGCTTGCTCAACTACATCAGAGCACCAGGATGCCCACCTAGACCAATTTTCCCCCTAATCATTATCATCCTGCCAGCTTTGAAATGGTCTGGTTGGCAGAAAAAGCCCAACCTCCAAAAAATATTAAAAAATATGGCACTGTTCTGACTTTTCCATCCTCAAATTAGTCAAATCCTTCTCCTTCACGCCACTGACCCCCTGTTCTTGGTTGTACAGGGACCTTCATCTGGCATAAGAGTCAAATTCAGGAGCAGGCTCCATGCTGTGGGGTGACCATTTGCCAGGCATGGTGGCCTGTCCACTGTCCAGTGGGATGGGTGTGATCCTGCAGGCACACCTGGCCCTAGGTCCCTGGGTCTTCTTCAATGTGGTACCCTGGGTACGGTGGTACCTAACTGCTCAAACCAATGTTTCTCCCTAATTCTTATCATCCTTCTGGCTCTGAAAATTTTGTTTTGCCTTAAAAGAGTGGTGTAAAACAAAGATGAAGAGTACTACAAAAAAAGCTAATGGATTACTTTTGAAGCCAATTGATAAGACCCAATCTTAGACTTAAATCTAGAGAATTAGCTAGGATCCTATTTTTTATAGGTAATGTTGCCTTCTTTGTAGGTATTTTACAAGCACACAAGTAAAACATTGATGACCAGATATTTTAGTTTTGAAGTGTTTTATTTCAGTATCCTTTAAACATTTAAATTAGTGTGTTTTGGTTTGAATTAAAAAATAAGAAGAAGAAATTTTGACATTGTTCTTCCCATTTTTCAAGTGTTGGTGAAGGCTGAGATTTTAGAAGTCCCTATCTCATAAAGTTAGGAACTTAAAGCATAAAAGGATGAACATAAATTATAAAAGGAACATAAATACCTTTCTAGAATCAATGGAGTGGTCAATGTTTACCATTCATAAGTAAAATGCAGCATAATGTTAAAAGGATGTATTTATAATCTTCGACCAGTGATAATGTTTTATCTTACAATATGAATGTTTATCCTCATCTTTTTTTTCTAAATCTTGAGATATCAGATTTATTATTTCATGTGCTGCAAAGAATGTCACTTTCACAGTTGACTTGTGTGATATCTGTATAATATTATTGTCCAAAATAAAAGAAGTTTTTAGACATGTGTGCTCTTACTCTTTGTCTATATGTAAGTGCAAACAACTTTGTGGAAACGGTCATCAGCAAAGGTGCAGCGAACCAATCCGCTCTCGTCGGCAGGCGATTCTGCCAGCGAGCGGTACCCTGGACTCTGGACTGTGTCGGCGCACCCGGCACCTGCCTCAACTCTCTCTGCGCGTCCGCTGCCGCCGCCGCGGCATAGACGACCGCCGCCATGGGCGTCAAGTCGTTTTTCATCGTGCAGGAGGCGCCGGCCAACGCGCTGTCGCTCAACAAGGACTTCAGCCAAGTGGTGATCGCCGGTAGAAACGTGTTCAAGGTACTGCACATTGAGGAAGACCGCTTCGTGGAGCGGCTCAACCTGCGCATCGGCAAGAGCCTGAACCTGTCGTTCTCCTCCAACGATGTGGTCTGGAACCCGTTTGACGAGACCCAGCTGGCCACGGCGGCCACCAACGGTCAGGTGGTGCTCTGGGACCTCAACAAGGCCAGTCGAAACAAACAGGATCACGTCTTCTCCGAGCACAAGCGCACGTGCAACAAGGTAACGTTCCACCCGTCCGAGCCGCACGTGCTCGTCTCGGGCTCTCAGGACGGCACCATGAAACTGTTCGACGTCCGAAAACGTGACGTGGCCGTGACGTTCCAGGGGAACACAGAGAGTGTGCGTGACCTGCAGTTTAACCCGAGCCAGCCCAACACTCTGGCGGCTGTGTCCGAGAACGGCCAGGTACAGCTGTGGGACAAGGCGCGCGCAGACCGCTGCGTGCGCTCCCTGACCGCGCACAACGGGCCAGCGTACGCGTGCGACTGGCATCCGTCCCGAGCCGGCTGGCTGGCCACCGCCGGGCGAGACAAGGCCATCAAGATCTGGGACACTGTGAACGGTACCATCCGACTGGTGGGTACCATCCCCACGATGGCCAGCGTGGGCCGCGTGGTGTGGCGTCCGCAGCGCGAGCACCACATCGCCAGCGCGGCGCTACTCGTCGACTGCAGCATTAACGTCTGGGACAAGCAGCGGCCCTTCATCCCGTTCGCGGCCTTCAGCGAGCACACAGACGTGACCACTGGCATCGCGTGGAAGGGCGACCCGCGCGTGTTCCTCTCTACCTCAAAGGACAGCACGCTGTACCTGCACCGGTTCGAGGACGCTGAGCGGCCGGCCGACCGCGCCAACCCGCACGGACTCTGTCTGTCGGCTGACGGTGATCTCGGAATCGCCGTGCGGCAGACGCCGGAGGCCGGCGGCCGGCCGCCGCGCCGCCCTCTCTCCAGCTCGGACTTGTTTCGACTGCGCCGATCAGTCCTCAGCACGGTCAGGGCTCCCACCGAGCCCGCACCGGTCTCCGACTGGCTCCAGGAGAGCGCTCGCCGCTACCTGCTGCACGGGCGCGCCGTGGCTGATATGTGCGAACACAACGCCGCCGTGGCTACCTCGCTGCGCCGCTACCAGGTGGCGCGCACGTGGCGTGTGGTGAAGCTGCTCTACACGTCCTCTCGTGAGCAGCCCGCCGGCCGTGCTACCTGGGAGGAGCGACCGGCGGGTGCTGACGGCGGTGCCGCCGATCCTGAGCCCAAGGCATCGCGGAATGTGTCAGGTGGAGGTGGGGAGACCAAAGCTGAGGACGCAGAAACGGACTGTGATGAGCCGGAGCCCGAACAAAATCTGGCCACGATCGCGTCCGGCCTGGCCAACGCGCAGGGTGACTTCTTCTTCGGTGACGGTGAGGTAAATGAGATGTGCCTGGATTATGACGACCTGGACGTGGCACCAGACTACACGCTGCCAACTGAGGCGTTCGAGCCGCGCCACGAATTAGCTGATGGCTCTCCGCCGCCCGAGAGTCTGCAGGTGGGCGCCGAGACCGCGGCCATCGAGCCGGCGGCGGCAGCGGCGGCGGCGGCCGCGCGCCTGCCAGCCAACCCTGCGGCCGTGGAACAGCTGAACCTGTCCCTGCTCGCCATCCCGGCGTCTCTGGTCGCCGACTGGCCGGTGGGGAGCGTGGTGGCTGACATGCTGCAGCACTACGCCGTGGACGGGGATGTGCAGACGGCTGTGTCAGTGATGGTGGTGCTGGGAGACCGGCTGCGGCCACACTTACAGTCAGCTGCCGCAGAGCACTGGTGTATGGCCTACCTAGAGCTTCTGGCCCGCTTTCAGCTGTGGAATGTGGCCACGGAGGTGGTGCGCCTGTCGCCAATCCCCACAGTTAGCTGTCTGAATCAGATGGTGCTGAAGCTGCAGTGTGGTCGGTGCGGCGCGGCGCTCGAGAGGACTGGATGGTGGTGTCACAAGTGCCACGCGCCCAGTACGTGCGCGTTGTGCCACCGCGTGGTGCGAGGACTGCAGGTCTGGTGCCAGGGCTGCGCACACGGTGGACATTTGAGCCACATGCGGCAGTGGTTTTCGTCTAATCGAATGTGTCCCAGTGGGTGCGGACATAAGTGTGTGCCAGTGAAATGACCGTGGCGTGAGATAGTCGTGGCGGTGACGTGTAATGACCGACGCAGGTCTGTGGTACACCAGACTCTGTGGATTTAAGGGGACATGTGAATCGGGGTGACACTATAGAACTGCGGCTGTGATATGTTACTAATGCCAGCAGGGTTATAAGTGAAAGCTTGTGTATGAGTGGTAATGGCCGTATGTTGCTAGCGAGTAGCGACCGCCATTTCCTGGTACTCCCTTTATCCTGTGCATTGTGTTGTGTACTCGTATCTAAGCTTGTCTCCTTTACTGCCTCATGTGTCAGGCCGGGGTTCGTGTTATTTCTACCATCTATCCGCTGGCTCCACAGGTGTAACCGCTCTGTGTACTCGACTCAGCGATGACGGCTGACACCGTGCCTCTGCGGCGCGTGCTGCTGCGCGCTGGGCCTACCACCGACCTCTCCGCTGCCATCGCACACTGGCGGCGGCTGGAGCCAGCGCCTCTGCTGGCAGCCGGCGCTCGCGTGCCGTCCCCCGCCGGGCCAGTGGAGGTGATCAGCTGCCACCCGACGCGCTCCGGTCGACTCCACCGCGACACCCGCCTGCTGGCCGGGCCGCCGCTGCCGCCGCCGCCGGCGAGCGCACGAGCCGCCACGCTCGCTCGCGTGGCTGGGTTCGTGGCTCGTCTGCTGGTCCCTGCCGCGCCGCCGCCGTTGCTGCTGGCGTTTGTGTGCCTGTGGGCGCTGCGGCGGCGGAGGACGGCGCCGCGTCGGCTCTCTGCCGTCAGCGATGCTGAGCTGCAGCGGCGAGCCCGCGGTGTCGCCGTCAGCGACACCCAGTCGACTGTGGTGGTGAGCAGTGGCGCCCTGCGGTGGCTGGGGGCCGCGCCTGGTCAGTGGTGGCGCTGTGAGCTGCGGACCCCCGTCGCCGGGACTCGTCAGGTGGGTCTTCAACTGGTGTCCGGAGACGTGCCGACCGATACCGCGCTCATCTCCAGCACCCTTTGGTGGAATCTGGCTTTACACCCCGATCGCAGCGCCGAGGGGGAGTTTACTGACGCCACGCTTCTTCCCCTAACCCCCGAGAGACCGCCTGTGGCACGGGTCGCCCGCCTGGCCCAGCTGTCTAGCCCGGCCCAGCTGCCGCTGGAGGAGTGCAGTGCTGTACTGGCTGCTCACTTCTCTCGCCCCCGGCTTCTAATGCCCGGTCAAGTACTGAGAACCGGCGGCCGGCCGGGGGAGAAGTCCGCCTGGTTCGTGGTACAGAGTGTCGAGCTGGAGACACCACACGGTGTAGCAGACGGAGGGACGGACGGATCGGCAGGAGTGCTGGCCTGCGCCGACCGGACGTCTGTATACCAGGTGTCTGACGTGGTGGGACGGGTGCCGCCGGCCGCACCCGTCACAGACACCCCCTGGGAGTCGGGAATGTTACCAGGTGAGACAGACGGGGAGAGATAAGTCCTGGGGCAGGGGTGGAGTGCTGTTAGGCGGTGCGTTGTTGGTTGGGATGTTTGGGTTGATTCAGAGAGTATGCCTGTTTTTGTAAAGTGTTTTGAAGCTAGTCCTTTCGAGGCGTGTATGGTGTAAGGGTGTTCCGAGTGATGCATGGTCTATGTTGAGGCTGTGTGTGTCCTTATTTATCCGGTTATCTGCCCTCTATCAGTGCATTTCAATTACCTATATGGGTGAAATGTCCGTTGTTTGCATGCTACGTTCAAATATTCAGTGATTGCAATATCGGGAAGCGTATCAAATATATACCAGCAGGGAACCTTGTCTGTTGTACACATCTCGTTTGAAAAAAGCTATCGCCGCTGCTGCTAAAGGCACTATGGTTAAAGTTCTCACTATACACTACACTCGAGGATGACATCCACCAATCCAAGATAACTTGTTAACGCTTGACGCCAAATATTTCGAAAGTTATCGGTCACATTTTCCCAATGTCCGCTTGCAGCACACTTTTGTCAGAGCACACCGCCTCACGGTCCTGCCCAGTGTCTGACCCTCTCCCCGTCATCAGCCGGGCTGGAGTCTGAGCTCCGTCAGCTCTGTCTGCTGCTGGCTCCGGGCGGCGCCCCTCGTCCCCTAGTCTCCCTCTGCGGTGAGCCCGGCTCGGGCCTGGACCGGCTGGTGGCGGTGGCCGCCTCCCGTCTCGGCCTGCACCTGGTGCCGGTCGACGGTCCGGCGCTGCTGGCTGACTCCAGCGGCGCCACGGCCAGTCGCGTCCACCAGGCGCTGAGCAGCGCGTCGCTCGGCCCCGGCCTCTGCCTGGTCCACCTGCGAGACGCCCACGTACTCGGCAGAGACCGTGAATCGTCCGGGCCGGACGCGCGAGTGGTGGCGGCTCTGCTAGAAGCGGCGGCTAACTTACCTGACTCGGCGGCACTGCTGCTGTCGGCGCCCTCCGGCGATCAGTTGGTGCATCAGCTGCGTGCACATGTCACTCACGAGGTCACACTGAGCGCGCCAGATGCAGAGAAGCGGGCGCGTATGCTGCGCTGGCTGTGTAGGCGGCATGGGGTGGCGCTGGACTGGATGAGTGACCGTCAGGTGGCGCTACAGACGGCGGGGTACCTGCTGGGCGACCTGGAGGCCGTGGTGACTCAGGCCAAATGGTGAGTCGAACGGGGAAGCTGGGCATGGTGGGTGGACGCTGCTGGGTGATAATGTGTTCGGGTGACGTTGGATGCGTGTGATACCAAGATAATTGTGTCATTCTGCGACGAGTTCACCTACAACATCCTGAGAAAGGAGAATGTTCGTTCAAAGAAAATAAGCTCAACTTGTTCAAAACAAACCAGAAACATCGGAATGAATTTAGTGAAGCTATTATAAAAACATAAGAATCAATGTCGTTCCTCGAATTCATTTTTCGCGAGTAGGCTTGTCATTAGCACGTCGTCGAGTAGCTAATAGTTACACCTCCGTCATTAATTTAACCCCACTTCTCTCCCTCCAGCTCTGCCCTGGCCCGTCTGGACGAGTGGTGTTCTAAATGCGGGGTCTCCCCGCCCGTCCGGCCTCCCCCGCTCTCGCTGGACTCACAAGACATCCAGGCGGGGCTCGGTAAGGAAAACTGGTGCGATTTGACAATCTCCCATAAAATATGAAAACAGCAGCTGATACTCGCGTGCATGTAACTCCAACTTGACTGTAATTATTTATACGTTTTGTTCTGCTATTTCATTTTGTTACGATGGTTGTTTGACAACATATTCGAATATAAGTACTCCCTACCATAATGAATCTATCTCATTCTGACTGAACTAACTACACCTCACCATATAACACCGTTCTGTCCTCGCCGTCCTCCCGTCAGGTTTTGTGCGCGCTCGTCAGGCCGAGGTGGCTGGCTCGCCGCAGATTCCCGACACGCGCTGGCAGGACGTGGGCGGCCTGGGTCAGGTCAAACGAGAGGTGGTGGACCTGATACAGCTGCCGCTGGCCCGGCCTGAGCTGTTCGCCGGGGCCGCCGCCAGATCAGGTCAGTCGCGGCAGGTGTAGGTCGGGAGCTGGACACTGTGACTGGTAACATATCCAGTTTGAGGTAGTAGGCTAATAGGGACAGATGAATGTAATTGTTTGCGACAGTTGTTGGTTACGTCAGGTCATTGGTAGCTGTTATTTACATCAGTGTCACCTGCAGGCCAGGTGAGGGCAGTGTCTGTATCTGTAAGGCATGCTATTGATAGTTATTATGCCTGCATCTCTCGCCGTGTTACCAGCTCAGCTGACACCCACCCACCCCCGCTATCTACAGGTATCCTTCTGTACGGCCCTCCTGGTACCGGTAAGACGCTGGTGGCCAAAGCTGTGGCCACCGAGTGCAGACTGAACTTCCTCAGCGTCAAGGGTCCCGAGCTCATCAACATGTACGTCGGGCAGAGCGAGGCCAACGTCAGGGACGGTGAGTCATGGGATTCGTGTCATACAAATATTGATATTTGCTATTGATGTGAGACCAGCTGGCTCTCAGACAATTTTCGATGCATCATTCGACCTTTTACTAGGAACCGATGACCAATGCAGCCCTTCGCCGTCAAAATTCAAGGCCCACATGTTTTTTTAGACACACGTTTGTACTGTGTTGATGGTTGAAGCTTATTTTAGTTAGCTGATTTGGTTAGCTCGGTGCCGTGCCCGTGCTATCCCGGTCTATTCTATATATTGTGTTTTCGGTAGTCACTCGTTCAGTGTATCTCACTTTGTGAGCTCCCAGAGCCCATTTTCCCTGACCCCTCCGTCCCCTCCCTCAGTGTTCCGACGTGCCCGGGACGCGGCGCCTGCCGTGGTGTTCTTTGACGAGCTGGACTCGCTGGCTCCGAACCGCGGCCGCACGGGTGACTCGGGAGGGGTGATGGACAGGTGAGTGTGAACTGCGACCGGTACAACGAGCTGCAGTACTGCCGCGCGCTCGTTAGCATAGGTTTTTCCCAGTCCGCATCATATTGAAGAAATTTTAGCTTAGTGTTATTATGAGGGCTAGGTAAATTTTTAACTCGGAGTGCTTGGAAAATCATTTGCTAAATCGAATAATTGATCACCATTTGTATTCGTATATCACATTATGCGCCCCTTCGTGGCATAAGTGGGCACTGGGCATCCTATGAATAGGTATGTCTCAATACGGGTCTCGCTCCCCGTTCCTTCCTTTTTTCTTAGAGTAGTGTCTGAGGTCTTCGCGGTGTCTCGATCCCTCCCTATGTATCACAGAGCTATGTGCTCACTGTTCCCATAGAGTGGTATCCCAGTTCCTCTCGGAGCTGGACGGAGCGGTAACCGGTGGTCAGGTGTACGTCATCGGGGCCACCAACCGACCCGACCTGATCGACCCGGCGCTGCTGCGACCGGGACGGTTCGACCGGCTGCTGTACCTGGGTGCCAGCCGGGACCGCGACTCACACACGGCCATACTGCGCGCCCAGACACGACGGTGAGCACGAATGGCAACTGTTACAGGTGGCCTAGAGATGTGATCATCAAATAAATTACATTTTTTCAAGTTGGTAACGCGTTGTGATTATAGATACATAATGAAAATTTAGTATGACATGTAAAAATCATAAAAGTAACCCGAAATTTTATGTTGCTTCAAATCATAATCAGTGTCCATAATCAAATCATGACCATAATCAGTGACCAACGGCAGCTCATCGTGTGACATCTCAACAGATCTTGCTACTCTGAATTAACCTGCTACCTTACAATGTACCTGTGACCTGTCTTCTGACCTCCGACCTTCCCCAGTCTGCCGCTGGCCGGTGACGTTTCTCTGGAGGAGGTGGTGTCCCGACTACCCGAGGCGCTCACCGGAGCCGATGTGTACGCCCTCTGTGAACAGGCCACCCGTGCAGCGCTGGACCGGGCGGTGCTCAGCGTTGAGGCAGGTACGGTACGCTACAGGGCGGGGAGATAGGGTAGGGGTGAGAGATCGGGTGTTGTGTACAGGCAGGGAGGAATGGTTTTGTTGGTGGAGAGTTTAGAGACCCGAGTCGTTTCGAGAGTCGAGTGTGGTCGTTATTACTTATTAGTCACTCATTACAGACAGGGATGATGGTGTGTAGCGTGAATGTGGAAAGTCCATCGAAAGGAAGGCCAATGATCATCGATGATATTTAGGCACCTCCCCATAAATACGTTATGAAACCTCCCAGAATGCAACCGTGACTTTATTATTATACCATGCGCCCGTTTACACACGAGGCTGAAGCTTTGGAATGTTGCTGGATTTTTAGGATTGTGTGTTATGAGCTCCCGAATAAGTTGAATGATTGTGTAGCATATTCGATACATCAAGGTGATACCTTGGACAGCAAACTCGGAGCCTCTTCTGCCCTTGAATCCATGACTGTCATTACGCCTGAGTCGCCTGTATCTTGCTTATTGTCTCCTAATCCGTGTCCCATTGAACAACCGTCCCCTCCCCGCTCTACTTGGCAGGTGCTGCGGCCGAGGACTCGGTTCCGATCGAGGTGCGTCAGTCGGACCTGCTGTCAGCCGCCGACTCTCTGGCTCCCTCGCTGTCCCCTGCTCAGCTGGCCGAGTACGAACTGCTGCGGACACGTATCGAGGGTAACTGATGGGACGTTTATATATACCGTGACAGTGGTCAGCAGATGAGGAGGGATGGGAAGGAGGGAAGGGAGGCTAAGAGGTCAGAGGTCGGGTCATGTGTTACACGTGTAATTTGAATTTGTCGTGTATGTAGGTAGGGTGCCTCTTATAGACATTTACGCGTTTGTGATGTATGATATAATTCAGCATGTGGGAAATAGTATGTGTCAGGTAATTTAAGCATGTAATCAGTGCCACTCAGGGCAGGCTGGAAGGGGTCCCCATTTCTAGAAAGCGAGTACGCCAATGCGCTGCTGTTATTTGAAAAGTAAGTTCATTTCAATTATTTATCATATCTTGATTATGGGTTAGTTATTGTACGTTTGAGAGGGCTGTGACGCTCATATGAGAGATAATACATGGCTAGTTTAGAATAACTGGAATTTTACCTATCTTGGTCACCCCCCCCCCCCCCAATTTGTTTATATTTGTTAACTTTAGCTAAACAGCATACATTGGTCAGTAAAGCTTCGGGGAACACAACATCGAAGGCAGGGATACTAATATGCCTTTGTAGTTTGGACCACATCGACATAATATGTAGGCTTTGCTGGTTACTCCGCAAAATGTCGCCGATTGGTGACAGTCTGAGGTTGAGCGGCGACTTGAGGCTAACACCGGGTGCACTCGTGGTGTAAACACTAGTGCAGCGTCCACGACATACACATTACACTTGTGGCCCGGAAAACATTCAGCGGTATTTGGCGTGTCTCGTGCCTTACTTAGATTAGCGTACAGCATACTGCGAGTATGGTTACTGATTCATATGAATAACTTACGAATGGATGGTAATTGAAGAATATGACTGCAGTCAGCAATGGTACTATTTCTAGTTTTATTGACGGCGTTGAGGATGACATTTTAAACACGAATTACTAGAACGAACTTCCGGATTATTCCTTGATCTGGCTTTGGCATTATTCAACTTCTTTAGTGCCCTGCTTCATACATTTCAATCTCTCGTCTCAATCTCTTATCAAATTCGCCTTCATCTTTTGAAACCATTGCCGATATGAATGTCAATGACGGCTACCGCTGAGCTCCTGATGTGGTACTCGCATTCTCCCTGTGTTTGTTAGCTAACTGACAACGATCGTTGCGTGTGATCATGATCATGATCATGATCAATGATCATGTGTATTGTGTACCAGCAAAGTACTGTTTGGCTGAAGTGATAAACGTCGATGACACGGTGAAAATGGCAGACGAGATGGTGCTGACAAAATGAAACATGTATGCACGCCTCGAAAAGAAACTGTGGTCACATATGCGAGCAAACAAGTACAGTTTATCACAATAATAAAGTATATTTGTCTATAGGCATCATTCGGTGCATCGACAAAATTAATCAATCTTTTACGACCCTTATGTATACCAAGCACTGAGTAAAGCTCCAGTTCGTGTACGACACTCGCAACATTTTCAGGCACAAAGTCCCCTGGTCATACGAATGCTTACGCACTGAGTACTTGCTATCGCTCGTCGTAGTTTCGTGAACCAAAACATTATGACTAGGATCCACTGTTATCAAAAGCTGGAAGGCTCTGTAGTGAAGTGTTGGTAACAGGCATCCTGGTGTAAAGCACGCCAGCGACGGGAGACATTTGATTTGATGCACGTTATTGATTGGAGTGGTCAGTAGCCACGCGTTGAGTACAACTCGCTCGCTTTGCGCTCTATGACTATACCGACAATACTACGACACGAGTAATTACCCCTGCAGAAGACTAGCGGTTTCTGAGAACTAGTCATCTTCTAGCTGACGAGCATCACGCAGTTGTACTGCTGGTTGTAGTCCTATCGCCAAATCCTAGCCACCACTATGCATCACCAGCGAAAAAACGAGATCGCACTACCTCGAAACCATCTGCAAAAATAATAAACGACTTCTCTTCGACGAGGGGTGACGTCACTAACTATGACGTCACTTACAGTCTGACCCGGGGCGGGTGTCGGAGAGTTCACCTGCCATCTCTCGACACACGGCTTCATAGCTGGGCGGTCCTAACGGCGTCAGAGCCTCGTAGGGCGGCGGCGCCTCCAGCGGCGTCTCCGGCTTGTTCTCCGGCTGAGGCGGAGCGCTCGGGACCGGTGAGGCGGCGGACGTTGGGTGAGAAGAGTCCGGCGGACGGTACCCGTACCGGGAGTACGGGACCCGCTGGGTACTGGCGGGCGCCGCCCGGGTCTCCGGCGGGCGATAACCGTACCGCGAGTACGGAATCCGCTCAGTAGTTGTACCGGTCCTGGCCACAGAGTCATAGAGTCAACAGGGAGTCACTGGGAGCATTAGCGTCGCCACGGGGGGGCAAGCGGGGCAGCTTGCCCCCCCAACCTCGGACCGGGCACCCCCTGAGATCGATACAGATCCGATGAGATTTTGGAGTCGGGAAAAAATGGGGGTACCTTTCTGAGAATGCCTGTGAGGTCAGACTCGTTCAAGCCAGAGTCGGAGTCGCAGTCGCCAACATCGTCAAAACACCGACTCCAGACTCGGAAGTGTCAATACTGTGATTCATTTCATGTTCCTCGTTGGTTTTTTATTACATTTTATAGCTGATTTTCATAAGTTTTGAAGTGCTGATACAAAATTTGCGTTCAAAGCGTGACACTGAATCTTCGGGCCTTTCTCAACTCTCGTCAAATGTCTGCGACAGACTCAAGTACCGTTCAAGTGCCACAGGGCTCATGACTGCTTGCTTTTCACACAGGCTCCGAAGGAGCTCCACTGAGCTCTAGGAAGCCTTCAGAGGGCCCAAACCGGCCTCTGAGAGTCCCACTGGTGTTTATATTCTCAAAGGAATCTTTGAGGACCTTACACATGCGTAGACCTCTGAAGGGCCACACGGATCTTTGAGGATACTTTCAAATATTTCTGAGAACCTTAGGCCTCTGATAGCTCAGCCGAGCTTTTGAGGCGACAGATTTTGCTGAGCCTAAGCCTGCAGTTTAGGGGTCACGACTCGGGTGTGCCTCTGAGGGTCCCAGCACATGTTTCTTATGTCCCTATGTAGGGTCCTTAGGGATTCGACACAGACCTCCAGGGTTCACACTGCTATTTGAGGGCTCCCTGCTCACCCTGGGCCTGGTCTCTTAGCGCCCGCCGCCGGCGCCGCCCACACTGGCTTCTGAGGGTCCCACCTTGGGCTCGGAAAGCCCTAAAGCACCACATATGTACACGTAACTATTTGGGGTGACCAGCGCCGATTTTCAGGATCCTAAGCAGGCTTCTGAGAGCCCACACTGACCCTGAGTGGCCTAAAATGGCCTGGAAGTCCCAAGCCTATCGCTAAAGGATCCCTTGCCGCTATGCCGTGCGAAATTTTGGTTCCGTTAAACGTCTTTTCTTCGCGTTTGCAGCGCTTCCCTATACACGAAAAACGAGAAACGTTTTGTTCACACTACACCTCCTCTCACTGGAGCAAAGATGAATTACTTCCGATTCACACTTCCGACATTCACTCTCCGCTGAAAGCCCTACTTAGCTTCAATCGGCGGCTGGGATAAGCCCTATGCATTTTACGTAGAACCTCTGCATGCATGCGTGAATGAAAGTTTCAGCAAGGTGATTCGCTTAAGCTGAGCGTTTAACCTTTTTATGATCATGAGCGACGAGCGTCTGCACAGGGGCTCTCCAGAGTGCGTCGGCAAGCGCAGCCATTGTGATTCTACCGGTCGTTTTTTGTTCAAAAATTTAAAAAAAAAAAATTTCTGTAAAAAAAATGGCAAGTCATAGCTACAAGGAAAACCTTGTCACCATCGTATTCCTCGCACCATTGCGCGTTGAATGATATGTAAAATGAATGAGTAACGACTGGAGGAAGGCAAGATTTAACGTTGATTTTGCCCCCCCCAACCGAAAATCTCTGGCGACGCCTATGACTGGGAGTCACGTGAGGGTCACCGTCATCAGAGTCACGGGTCACACGAGAGTCCACGCCTGCAGGGAGTTACCAGCGAGTAACAGATTCACTGCGGATCAAAACAGTCGCAGTATCACCCCTGCTCCGCGACGGAATCGATTGTGTGACGTCACCCGGTCGGAGTGACGTCACTCAGTTGACCGCCTTCGGACTCGGCCAGCACTGATGACAGGCGATGCAAACAAACATAAATTGTCAAATTCGATGAAAACAGGATATGAAAGCTATAACTGCAATTCAAATATTTTTCAGTGTGATTGTTTAGGTAGCTGGCTGCGTGGCGTAGTGGTTAGCGCACTTGCCTCGCGTTCCAAGAACTTAGCTGGGTGATTTCTTGAGTTGACGAGTCAACTGAATTTCAACTCATGCCCCTGGATGTTTAACGAACCAACCTTTTACGACGCCCCAACTGCTGCCTGACAGGGATGCGCGGGTAACGTAACCATGGCCCGATGACGATCTCGTTTCTACCCTCAAGTTCGAGCCTCCATCGACTGTAAACACCTACCGATCTACCAGTCTCTCCACTCTCCAGCTGCCTGACTGACCTGCCGTCGGCCTCCTCTCCATCCTCGGAGCCGGCGCTGGTGTCTTCTGTCGAGTTCCTGCAGCAGCACCAGCAGAGGAGACAGAGGAAGCTACAGACCGCCGCTAGGCCTACCAACACCTCCAGGCTGCTGCTCACCCACTCCATAGGGTCCTCGGGCTCCGGCGCAGCGGTGGTTGAAGTGGTGGTCGTTGTGGTTGTTGTAGTCGTTGTGGGAGGCGGGTACGGCTTAGACATGTCGATACCGTTCATTTCACAGAAAATGTTGGGCATATTGCCGGAGAGGCAGGAGCAATAGGCGGTGTCCTTGAACGTGGTGAAGCCGCGGCGCTTCCTTTGCTCGCTTAAACATTTGCGATACACCCTCCCCTTCTCCTTGTATGTCGCCATGGTGGTTGGTGAGAACTGACGGCGAGACCTCAGAACCAATGGTGGGCTGCCGCCGGTGGAGATATCACACTACTTCCAACACCACCCACGTCACAGAGCAGACGGCAGGCACCGAGGCCGACTCTGGGCCAGGCGCCGGCACCGGCGGGGTCTCACTCCAGTGTTTGGGCATTCGCCCAAAACCGGTCGTCGGCGCCCGTGCCCTTGGCGCTGCCCGGACCTGGCAGCGGGCCAGGATCGATTGGACGCTGTCAGAGACATCTGTTGGAGGTTATAGAAGTGACAGAGGTACGGTCTGGCTCGAATGTCATGAATGACTTGTTTTAGGCTGAAACAACAGTGCACGTGCACCGCACCTCGCTTGGTAGCAATATGGTTTGCAATTTCTGCGATGACGAGCTTTAGTTCAGTGCAATTTTTAAGACCAATAGTACTTGAGCATGGTCGACTAGCTTGGGGGCCTGTCATCTGGGGATCAGGGTTCGATTCTGGGTACCTCCCGCTCCTCATTAGCATGCTCTTGGCATGCTCAATAGTCTACCACGAGTGGGATTTTCATGAAATATGTAACGATCACTGGTAGCGTTCACGAAGAGTGTGGGCAAGTCGGGGTTATGTCTGTTTCCTAGAAATGAAAATGAACAGCAGTTACCGCTGTTTCGTAGAGGTGTCGCCCACATCGCTCTGACATTGTGTAGGGGGCGTGCAAGTAAACGCATCCGACATTCCTGAGTTTCTGGTGAGGGCTGCGAGGGCACCGACGCGACGGCGGCATGCAGGTAATATCGAGAGCAAATCTGAACTGGCTAGCATGTAAACAACCCAGCAAACAGCACCGAAAACCAGCCTTATTTGTTGTCTAAGCATTTATCACGGGCCCCTCGTTAAGTAAACCAACCGCTCTGCACCGAACCAGACCACTACCTGAAACGCCGCCGTTTCCGGTGCACGGAAGCCGTTTACAAGCCGATGTCGCCAGCATCCCGAGCAAGGAGCTTCTGGTCGTTTATGCCACAGAGACGTCAAGAGCATGTGGGCGAGTTAGTGGAGACAATGCAGGCATCAGGGCCGATTGACTCGCCGGGTGGTTGGTTCGTCGATAGACCCGAACCGACTAATAAGTTGTTTACGTTCAGTGCACAGTGACACGGTGATAAGTAACTTATATGCGTAGCTGGCCAAAATGTCTCTTTATTCGTCTTCCTGACTTGTAAGCTAGAAGCTGTCGAGTTTTTCCTTCATCTTTCTAACAGCTGCATTGCTTAGGGTGAACATATCTTTATTTAATTATACCCTAACCGAGGTCAGATACCGGTAAGCACACTGTGAATAGACCGAAGCACATGCTACAGTGACTCCTTCCCCGAATCGTCTCGGCTCCTCTCCCCAGCCGTCTCGACCGCCGCGTGCCTCAGCCGCACTCATTTGTCACCACCCCTTTGGCTCGACAAGCCCACAGCCGCGCGAAAGTGAGCTCGGGTCAGTCTCTCCCACCCAGCGAGCTTTTCCGTCTGCCAGAGCCGACGCGAAGGAATTTGACAGCATCGACCGGCGCGCCATTCTGGCCGCACCCGCGCCACTCTGGTCTCACCCTCGTCACGTCTGCCGCCCGCCGCCGGCGCCGCGTTCCATACGATTGACCTACTCGTCGACAGAGGGTGGAATTACTGTGGTCACGGCATGGCATATCGGCACACATCGGCCAGATGAAACCGAAAATACTTTCACGGTCAGCAGCCGTGCCAGAGGGAGGGAGGGAGGGAGAGAGAGAGAGAGAGAGAGAGAGAGAGGGGGGGGGGGAGAGAGAGAGGGCGACAGGCGGGCGCCACGTAAGACTCGTGAGAGCTCGACAATCAATATCCTGTCGTGCTGTTGGGGGCGGTTGGCCCTAATGTTTCGGAGCTGTGAGAAGTAAGGCTGAGCACAAGCTGCTCGCAAGTGGAACCTATACATAGAAGTACCGAGACGGAGACAGAATTATTGGCCACAGACACGCAGCCCAACATACACAAAAAGAAAAAAGAAATAGAAGTGTGGTCAACAATCATGAATATTGAATGATGAATCCCTCCTAACACGAGGTTGAAGGTTTGGGTTTTTATCGACAGCTGAATCGGATAATGGCACAAGTTACCGCGTCCACCGGTGCTTTGGACGAGACTGGAAGAGACGGGAGGACGGGTCAGACGATCGGGAACGGGAGGAAAAGAACTGTTGCCCTAGCAAACCGGCGGGAACAGGGGAGGGGATTGGGTGGAATGAATTGTCCTTTGATGACCTCTGGTGACCTGATCTCTGACCTTACCGAAAAATACCTGTATTGCTTTACTCGTAATTTTGATATCTTTTTGGATTCCGTTTACTGCTTGCCGCTTCGTGCAGCTCAGGGACCGAGTTATAAGGGATCGTTGAAATGGCTGACCGTGGCTCGTAGCGTTACGATCAGACCACCGCCCTGGTGCAGCTGGCAAATGAATGCATGATCATTGATGCCTCGCATCTCACTATATTACCCGACCTGCCGGCTGCCAACCCACCACTCTGTACAGTGAACAGCCTGTCTCTCCCTGAAGTGGGTGGGGTCGATCGCTCGGTCCGCCGCGACGGGCCCAGCTCTCCCACATCGTTAGCATTCCGTGAGTGTCGCCCGGGCCGACCGAGGAGGGAAGTGAAACGGGGACCGGTCGGTGGCGGCGACCCGCCCCGGCCACCCCTCGGCCCGTGCAGAGGCGCTGGAGCGAACAGCAGTGCCCCGTGGCGACGATCTTGCGCCTTCTCGCTTTTCCTGGGTGGGGTTAATGAGGCTGCAGGGTCCAGTGAGGTGTGGCTGAGCTGTGTTAGGAGGGGCTCACGATTACCAAATATGGAGTTGAACTAAGACGATACAGTGGCTTGGCAATCTCGTATGCATTCTTATGGTCTCATAAATATCAAAATATAGCGAAATATTCAAACGAAACTGCACTCACTTAGCTCAAAAAGTCGTCAGTCGTCTCGCCCTCTTATTACTTCAGCTCAAAACAAAGATATGACCGAGATTCCTATGTAACTTTAAATGCCCGGCTGTGCCTACAGCTCACACAAAAACTAGTGGCCTCCACGCCTTCCCACTGTTGCCAAAAGGATTTCTCCCGGTGGTCATTGTCTCAAGACTTGTTTACTGTTTGCATTCCTAAAGTAACAGGGAACTTGACCACCTTGCTAGGCCAGCAGGGTAAAAAAGCGACACAATGCCTGGCTGCTCGAGGTGAATGGCACGGTTGGCTGACTGCGGACCTGACCTGGGCTGGATGACAATAAAAAAACGTAGGTATGTGTGTTTGCACAATGCACATGTAAACCATGGACGCACCTCAAAAATGGTAGGTACTATTAATTTCGCTCGTCGTTGGCTATAGGCAAGCTTGTTTTATAGTACAAATTTTACTGGTCATGAGTTCATACCACATAAAGCCAAAGGTAAAGTGTGCACTGTGCAATGTCTTTGTACGTACTCATATGTTTGCTTATTGAATTTCGTTACAGCACTTTTTGCGTGCCATTTCACCAATTATAGGACGTGAGTACTGAGAATGTCAAAACACCTGAGCTCATACATTGCTCCCGGTGACACATCAATATGTACCTAAGTCCTAAAATAACCACTGCTGCATGTTAGCAAACTGTAATGAGCCTATCACCTTCGATGCAGACCCGTGCAACTGCCTTGTAGATATACGCACGATATCCCGCGAAAGGGCTAGTCGTAGTCGACTGCTGACTGTCAGCCGCTCGGTCTCAGTCACTTGTCAGTTGTCAGAACTCCTCCAGTAGCATGCGTGCTACTGCATGATACGGATGATATGGAAATCGGCTATGCATTACTTGTCGTGGTCTTATCCTTGACCGACTTTTGACCGTTTAGGGGTTGATGCAGACTCGTCCTACAGCAGTGATTATAATATGAGTAGTCTTTTCTTGTATGCATTTGCCGTATATACCTACGAGAACACAATTGTTAGCGGCGTCTGGCTATGAGCTGATTTATTTCAAAGGCTTTACAATTTTAGCCGTAGAAAATGTCGTTGCTGGTTTGTGACACGAAGCCAAAAACAATCAAAGTGCTTCATCGGACGAAACTCGGTCCTGACGACAGGTGTTGAACCGTTCCCATCGAATGTAACTTTGAATATGTATGTGTATTGTGTAGCGGGCGTTTTGCGTTTTTTGCGGTGTTTGTGTTTGGCGTCGGGCGGGCGGGCGATGCGGGCGAATTTATTTTTTGCGGTGTTTGCGGTGTTAAATTTGTTTGCGTTTGGCGGCCGCTTTTTCGTTTCTTTTTTTTTGCGGTGTTTGCTTTTGGCGGCGGGCGGGCGATTTTTAGGCGTTTTCGGTTGGCGGTTAGCGGGCCTGCGACGCGGGCGTTTTTATTTTTTGCGGTGTTTTTGCGTTTTTTGCGATTTGCGGCAGGCGTATGATTATTACGAGCGAAATGAGTCTTTTCAATATAACGGAAAAATCTCGGTATGAGCCCGGCCCCCCAGTATGGCCCGGCCCGGCCCGGCCTGTAACGCTTTTGAGAGGCTTATATCTCAGCAACCGCTGGACCGATTGGCCTGCGGTCTTTTTTGTTGGGTAGCCCCATACCTTCTACCCCGTAATTGACTACTTTTGATACATCTCAGTGACCGTCGTGGCACGTGCCACGTGAAAAGTCAAGGGTGTTCAAGCTGTTTTGCAAAAGTAGTGATTTTGAGAGGCTCATATCTCAGCAGCCGCTTGGGCGATTGGCTTGCGGTAATTTTTGTAGGGTAGCCGCATCCTTTCTACCAAAAATAGGATACTCTCGATGCATGTGGGTCACCCCCAGTGCACGTGCAAAATACAACAATACGAGGTGTCAAATTTGTTCCCATTTTAATAACTTGGTAATTACTGGGGCGATTTCGCTGAAACTTGGCATACAGGTAGGCACCCACCAGGCAATGCATTCCCATGTGTTGCGGTTAGGGTGCTACTGCACGTGCGCACGTGCAGGGGGCGCTTCCAGATCTCGAGAACGGCTGGGCCGATTGCGCTCAAATTTGGTACACGCCACGGTTGGGGACCAGTTTGTAGGGTGCCGTGCAAAAGTCAGTTTAGACCCCGTTTGCACGTGCGCACGTGCAGAATGCCGCTTCCAGATCTCAGGAACGGCTGGGCTGATTGCGTTCAAATTTGGTACACCGCTAGCGACCGGTTAGAAGGGTGCTTTGCGCAAGCCC